GTGGGCTTGGCTGGAGGGGAGGAGGGGGAGGAGGAGGGACACGGGGGAGACACAGGAGGGGCCAGAACAGGAGACCAAGTTGGTTAGTTCAGGCCTAGATCCCTTTTCACTCCTGAAAATATTATTTGTTTTAAGTCATTTCCAAAGCAAACTGCAGCAAGAAATTAAAGGGGATCCTGAAACAGGGAAAAACATAAATTGTTCCTGGTTGGGATCAGTTTCCATCATCAAATTGCAGAAGTCCAACAGGAATAAATGCTGGAAATGCCCCAGGACGGAAGGAATTTCCTGCCAGATGTGTGGGAGGTAGAAAGAGACCCAGAAGACACACAGCATGTTTTGGAGAATTGCAGGGATCCCATTCAAAAGAAAACCACATTTTTTAAAATTAGGTATAATACTGGAACATTTATTTATTTATTAAATTTATTTGCCACCATCTCATGATAAAATGACTCTAGGCAGCTGAAAGTAGGGCTTTTCAATTGGTGGTACGTGTACCACCTGTGGTACATGAGCACATGGCAGATGGTATGCTGCCCTGCCCAGCCAAGTGTAGTGGGGGAGGGAATGAGCCAGCACAGGCAAGGACTTACTGTGAGAGAGTCCTCTGGAGCTGCAGAGTGGCTGGGGCAAAGGCCCCAGGCTCACATCCGGCTCATCCCCCTCCCCCATGAGAAAGGAGGAGGAGGGGGTGGAGATATGAGAGGCTATAAAGGGAGGCAGTTTCGGCTGGAGAGGGAGAGAGAGAAAAAGAAGCAGCCTTGGGAGGAGGAGGAGTCAGCTCTAGTTGCAATGGAAAGAAGAAGGAGGAGGGTGGGGGGAGAGGAGAGAAAATCAAGCAGGCCGGCCAGAAGCCGATCTACAACTTCTGTGGCAGCCACCTGTGCTGGCAGCAACCAAGAGGCAAGGAACGTAGGGGGGAGGTGTTGCCCTCCACGAGGAATGAAGAAAGGCAGCAATGAAGAAAGGCAGCAATGAAGAAAGGCAGCAATGAAGAAAGGCAGCACCGGCTGGAGGTGAATCATGGAGGGAGATGGAGAGTGGAAGGATTCTTATGTGCTTTTGTGACTTTGAAGTTCTGGGATTTGTGCAATGGGGGCTTTGTGTTCTTAAGGAGTGTTTGGCAATTTCTATTTGGCTGATGGTTGATGTCTCAGGTTAGCTTCTACTGCTCTGCTGCTGTTAGCTGTAAGTTTTGCTGCAAGGGATTTTGAAGTATTTTTCTCCTGAATGGATTTTGCCTGTAGCATTCCTTTGCTTATGAATGGAGCCATTTGGGGAGGCTGCCTTAGCCAGCAGCCATACTTACTACATTTATTTTTCTTCCTTAAGTTCCACTGCGCTGCTTAACTTTCCTTTCTAGCCAGTAGCTAATTCTTAAAGGGGAATGCGCCTTCTTAAGCTAGTTCCCTCAATGGCTTGTCTTTTCTGTCTCTGGAGGCTTTTCCTTGTTCAATGAATATATGGAAGAGGGGAAATAGGGGGGGGGTTCAAATTCTTCCTTCAGAAGGAGATGGGAATGAGAAAGAGGGAGGCAGGGAAGGAGGGAGGGAGGGAAGGAAGTCCCACCTTAGCACTTGGCCACCTGCCAATGACTTTGCTTGTCAAAAGGTTGCAGAAAGGGATCACATGACCCTGGGACACTGTGACCATCATAAATATGAATCAGTTGCCAAGCATCCAAATATAAATCACATGACCCTGGGCCTGCTGCAATGGTCATAAGTGTGAAAAATGGTCGTAAGTCATTTCAGTGGAATTGCAACTTTAAACAGGTTTGTGGTTTTTTTTGGTCATCAAGTGTTTGACACCTTGCTAGGTGGCACTCGAATATTCCCATATATCCTAAAAGTGGTACAGTCCATGAAACAGTTGAAAAGCCCTGGCTTACAGCATTAAAACATTAAAATCCCAACAGATAAATATTTCTATAGCAATCAAAATGGAATTCCCAGTCACGATAAAATTATAGTTAAAAGATGGGGAGGAACAGGAC